GGCGCCGCGGGAGGAAGGGGCTAGCCGGCCCGCTCCTGAGAGGAGCTGTGCCAGGCCGGAGGGAGGCTCTGGCTGTGCTCAGCCAACAGCCACCACACCCGCGACCTAAAACAGCCCAGGTCTATTACAATGGAAGGCATTATTTGAAAACCAGCAGACGCCCTCTTATATCGTGAGGCTGCTGTTCCCCTGGCCCCCAGCTTTGCAAGCTGCGACTCTTCGCGTTTATGCGTGCAAGTGTCTAAAGTTGGCATGATTCAAAGGGCTATAGAAACCGTAACCACTTTTACAATGAACAACAAGGTGGAGGGGCTCTTATCTTCCAGCATGCTTTCCCACTTGGAACTGAGCACAGCCCCAAATCTGGGAGGTGTTCCATCAACCAGGCCTCCATAAATGTTTACTGAATGTGCATATCGAAGTTTTAAAGGTGAAAATAAAATTACCCATTTTTTTTATCTGTAATTACCACGAGTCTCTGCTTTGTCCCGCATCACCAACCCCCAGAAGACCGGATGCCCAAAGGACAGGGCTGTGGTCCCAGGAAGCTGTCCACCAAGGCACCGGCTGTAAAAGGAGCAGCCTTCCCACCCGACCATCACCTCCCAGCCTACCTTGCTAATATGGAGTCTGAGGAAGGAAAGAACAGGTGGCGACCAAAGTCCTGAGCTCCATTCTGGGCAAAGGCTGCAACCCGCCATTGATAAAGGGATCCGACAATGGCATTGGTCTCAGGACTTGGACTGTCCTCTCAGCTGATTCTAACCCACACAGTTATCAACTCAAAGAAGTTCCTGCCCATTACGAAAACTTTAAGGTACGTTATTTTCAAACAAAATAATACTTCCAACATTAAAATTTCTACTGGCGATTAACTGAACTAACACACTACAAAATTATTTCCAAGCTAGTTAAAAACATCAATGTGTTAGAGTCCTTTGCTGTTATTCTTCTTTTTCACGGTGCCAGTTTTGAATCTTTGTAGGTTTTTTTTTCCTTTTTTCCCCATTACACAATGTGGGAAGAGGAACAAATGTTATAAGAAGTTACCCCAAAACCTTTTCTCCACCAAAAAGAAACCAACCAGCAAAATTAGTAATTGTAAAACTCTCCATGATTATATGTGAGGACATGTAACCTTACTAGCTGCAGTTTTTTGTCTCTCAAGCGCTGAGCTTGATCAATATTTAAATAAGTACTTGGCTTTCAACTTCTCTGGGTTCAAACATGAAGCAGAGTGTGTTCCAGCAACCTTAAAAGAAGCCGGTGAAGCCTGAGGCAGGGAGCCATCATTGTGTAAATAACCCACTGCATCTGATTGATTTCACTGCTGCAGATGTAGGTCACGCAGGATTCGATAACACTGAACCAGGCTGGGACTGCATTTCTTTAGAAAGCACAAAGACTACATATTCTCAGTCCATGGCCAAGGAACATTCAGCCAGCAAAAAAAAAAAAAAAAAAAAAAAAAAAAACAGGTGGGCGATTCTACTGGAAAAATTCCAACTTCCTACTGAGCACGACGCCAGTGTCCCAGCTCAGCTCTGTCACAACGGATTCATTCTCCCTTCATTCTACACAGACCCCCTTCATAAATCTTTTCTTCGTTGTCCTGGTTTCTGCCATTCTCTCAACTTTGACAAAGAAGTGTGACCTTATCACTTGGTGCAGCACCTGCTTACACTGACTGTCGTTAGACTATTACAACTTCTTGTCTTCTCTTCAACTTGCCATTTCAAGGACAAAGACTATGCCTTACCCTTGTAATCTCCACAATCCTGGCACAGGGGTATTTAATATTTGTTTTTTAATTGAACTTTCATATCAGATCAGTTATGCAGGAAGGAAAACTATGTCATTTTCAAACTTTTCTTCAATGGATTATAATCAGTCTAACTTGTACTGTCTATTTAATTCTTTCCAATCCCTTAGCCTCTTTCTTTGGCCAATACTTCTCAAAAAGTGAATAACTGTAAATCTGATGTTTGGCCATCTGTTCACTAGATAGTCAAAATATCCAGTCAGTCAAAAGCCTAGGGCTCACTACAAAATCCAGTACAAGTCCATATCAAAAAGCCAAAGGGTCTGCATTAAAAAGTTAGTCTGCACTGAAAGCCAAACATCCAAAGGTGATGGTAAAGACCTGAGCTCCTCCAAAAAAGCAAAAAGGGCAGACTTTGTTCTTCTTTCTCTTTTTATTTCATCTAGACCTTGAGCCTAATGGTTAGTGCCACCTCCATGCACAGTAAATTTTCCCTCTTCCTTTGCAGCTTACAAGGCAATCATCCTGAAACCAGAGCCATGCTCCACTAATCCTAGAGGCTTTTCTTAATCCATTCAAGTTGACACCACAATTAACTATCACAGTTGGGAACAGCTGAACTAAAAAACAATTGAATTGGTTGCACGAGAGAAGGACAAAGATCAGTCCCCGGTGACATGGATGGAAATCAACGCATCCATGGCTCCTAATGTTGTACAATATGGTTGAAATCACAGGTGAGCACTGTTTCAGTGTAATGTGCACATGATTTACCTGGGGATTTGTCAAAATGCTGACTCTGATCTAGTGTCAGAGAGAGGCAGATTTTCTCTGTTGCCCAGGTCTCTGCTCTGTGGACCAAACTCTCAGTGTCAAACTAAAAGAGATTCAAAACAGACATGGTGGGGGGCAGATAAATATTCACATTTGTGAAATAGAAGTCTAATATCTCTGAATATTTTAATTAACATGTATTGAACACAAGCTATGTACAAATACATGTTTTTCAATTTTTGTATAAAAGAGGAGGCCATTTTTAACCAGTGATAAATATAAAGTCTTCCCTAAAGTGTCAGTTTAACCACTAGGCAAAGCAAGTCCATACTACATTTAGGAGCCCATGAAAATGTTTTCATTTCTTTCATATTTAGAAGAAAAAAATGAACTTTTAGTTCAAGAAAATATTTTTACTATATGATGTTAATGTATTTGTTTTTATAAGCAGTAGTGAAATGTTTTTAATTTTTTTACTTATTTTTATATCTAGAAGAAGCCTATGAAGGCAAAAGTGCCCAAAGCTAATAGTCATTATTCTCAAAGCCCACATTAGTCACCGGTATTTTTTGAAAAGCACAGGAAGCCTATTGTGGTTGATATTTGCACACTGATATTTACAAGAATGTCAACGAGATATTGGGAAGATTACAAATATGCCTCTTGGGTGGAGCAGGCCCTATAAGTACTGAGTCCATTATTTCCCATGTGAGAGTTAAGAACACAGGAATAATCCATTGACAAAGCTGTTCCTTTCAGCTCATCCCTGAAGGTCCAAGAGCCCACTCCTAATGATTTGTCCCACTTCCAGAATCAGTTTTTGGAGAGGCACATGACTTCTCTCCTTTGTAACACTGACCATATTTTAGGCCCAATTCTTTTACCATCCAGACTTAGGTCCACACAGAAATTTCTCAGGGAATTCTCTATGAAAAAATACAATGATGAGATTTTATTTTATAGGAATGAAATCTCATATCTAATTCTAATCAGGTCTGAGAATTGAGATATAATCATTCATGGCTAATAAAGATTGCCTTCATTGTTTATCAGTATAGTAACACTAACAAAAATGACTGATGGTTTTGCTACCCACTACCAACTATTAACCATTTGTGGCTATTTGAATATAAACTCATAAAATTAAAACTTCAGTTCTTGGTTGTTCTAGCACATGCTGGGTGCTTAGCAGTATTCTGTTGGGCAGCATGGATAGAGAGCACTTCCATTACATCTGTTTCAAAGAATTCTGAGTGAAGAGAAGACCACCTATCCCTGAAACTTGAAATACAAGGCTGACTTGGGAAATATTTGGAGTCTAGATGGGGCACATTTTTCTCTTTTCACTTGTCAACAGATCCACGACTACATAGACAGTTACTCTGCTCTTTTTAAACCTCCCAAACCAAAATATCTAGGAAACCAACTTTTATGTAATATCCCTTGCCTACTTGTGAAAAGCCAGTTAATCCTATGCTTGGTCCACCCAAAGGATTTCAGGAGTTTTCCTCCAAGACTTTTTATAGAACAGCTTTAATTCCAGAGTGTGATAATTTACATTGCTGCTTATATTGTTTTTTGTTTTTTTTTTTCTTGCCAAAATGTCTTCAGGTGACTTCTTCCTATAGCCAAGTTTTAAAATTTTAAACCAACTCAAAGCCCCTTTTTTTTAATCTCCAAGGTATAACTTATACAAGGCAGTCCAACGGAATGTGCCCCAAAAGTACCATAAGTGTATTTATCTTCTATCAGTTAGCAATTTTATTCCCAAGAGCACCATCAGAGTGCTCATAAGTGGGGTTTAAGAGAGAACAACACACCATCTCACATTTCTCCAATCCTCTAACACCTGCTGAGCACTGCCACGAACATGTTAAATCCCAGCCTGAAGCAAGTTTTCATAGTTACATAATAAAAGCCCTTAAAAATTAGAGTAGATAATTGAGATACTAACACCATTTTAATTAGGGTGGCACAACTAGTCACTGATTATGCATGTGGGAAATAATGTATGTGCA